TGGGACCACACAAGTAGTGTGACTTCCAACCACAAGTCCATGGGTTTGTGGGCTGTGGTTAACAGAGTCTCTGAGGGGAACTGTATTTTTACTCCCCCTGAGCTGTTGGGGGAGGCTCACCATCTACTGGGGGCGCATTTAAGGATCCTGGGACCTCCCACTATGATCAGACTCCAAACGTCCCCTGCCTCCTTGGCTAGCAGCCCATAACGACCCCAGATCCATACTAGACCATATTAGCTTAGTTTGTATCCCCAAGGAAAACTTCCTGCTTCTGAACTAGTTTAATATTTCTATTTGAGCTTTCTTTTTGAGACTTGACTCAGGAATTTTTTTTCTTTGTACCTTAGGCATTCATGTAAAAGACTTCATTCATTTCCTACCTGGCCTATAAATGTATAAAAGTAACAATAGTCCATATAATTTCTCAGTCTTTGCTGTAAGTTCCCAGACTTGACCAGATGTCAGTCTGCTAATATGAGGATATCTTGGTATTATGTTACTATGCTTACAAACTGCTTGAGAGGCAAAGAAAACATACAGATAAACTTGAGAGAAATACAAGAAACAATAGCTCCCTAATGAGGCCCACATGTCTTGTAGTTGAAGTCAGTGTTTTAGGACACTGAACTTTAAGAAGCAGGCATTGGGGACAGCTTGATGTGTAGTAAAATTAATGCCCTTGAAAGTGGAAGCCGTCATTGTTTTAAGGGCGACTGGAAGGGGATTTAGAAGAGTTAGAGACAAATAACTGAAGTTCTAGACAAACATAAGGCATTTACTTCCAGTGAAGTAACTTTAGGCAATAACAACAAAAAGTAGCACCTATTCAGTGAGAACTTAGGCCACATCTTCCGTGGGTATTTATTAAATGTTTGGGGAGATGCACAATTAGTTATGTGAGCAGAAATTCCCAGTCTGGGCATCTTTCTTAGACTTAGTATTCTCGTTTTAACTCTTGTTTTCACATGGTAAATGTAACAGGATTCTAATAGTGTTGAGTGCAACATTTGTTGACTCCGACTGAATGACAGCTTTAGCTATTTGCTGTTGTTACAGCAACTAGTTTTTATTTTCCTTTCCAATTCCATGTGTTGCTCCCAGTCAGTGGGGTAGAACAGATTTGAGTCACTTTTCTTTTCACTTGCTTTCTTATTCTATAGCCGTTTATAAGATGTGCGCTGTAGGACCCTCACTGGCCACTAATCTGGACCTAGTGTCCCTTTGACGCTTGTCATGTGGGTAAATGTATCCTTCCTTGTCTTCATGCCTTCAGGAGTAATACGCTGTTTTAAAGAGGTGCCTTGATGGCAGTGCTCCTCAGGACGTGACTGGTGGTTTTCCTCTATAAAACCTAGGACCCAGAATGGATTCCACATTTGGAGTTTTGGTGTTAGTGACGGTGGTTGCTAACATTTTTAAAGTGTTTGGAATTGAGTGCTACATAGTCTAATTTTTAACACACACAAGAATTTTAAGAGATTGATATGTAAGTGTTCATAAATACTCCCAGTAAATCCTAAGCCCTTAATTATGTAAAAAAAGAGGCAGTTTTGACCTATATGAAAATTCTTAAAACATGCATTTTGTTTTTATAAACAAAGCCTGTAATAGTATCTAGTTGAGTTATTTTAAATCATTCATACGCTATCCTTTGAAGACTTTTCAAATATTTCGTGTGGATAAGGTCAGAAGGAATGTATATTCTTGTAGATTTTATAGGAATATTTATGAGTTTTTATATGCACAGAAACTGCCAAAAATCATTCTGAATAGGTTATGCTTGTTAAATTATTATTGTCATCTTGAATCATCTGCACTCATGGCTCACTTTAGAAGGAACTTTACCCTTAGTTGTGGTATTATTGATATCTTTAATTTATTAGTCCATGGATATATGCATAAAGATTTTTTAAACCAATTTGTACAAAACTAAAAGCAGTAAAATGAAGTTATTTTTCAGTCACAAAGTGGCTTCTCTTAAATGAGGCTAAACTGGCTCCGAAGAATGTTCTTGTGCATTTGCCAAGAGACTTCTGGGATGGGCATATTTTTAAGAACTCAGAACATAAACAACTGTGATCTGTGGCAAGAGATTTCAGTGACCTCATGATGACAATGAGAACAAAGCATTTTTAAGTATTGTGGTGGTGTTAACTCATTGCAATGTGTTTGTTCTATTTTGGTATATTAGTGAAAGCCAGGCAAAGAGAACTACAGACTGACTTGAATTTAAGATACTGTTTCTTTATTGCTAGAAACAGACTAAGTTCCAAAGAGGTATTATTTCCTAAGAATAAATATTGCATGTATGAACCAGTTAGAGACAGAAGCCATTTAGACCTTAGAGTTTTGATTCATTTTTTTGTTGGAAATAATATGTTCTAAACATCAAAGATCAAACACTTGGCAGGAAATAAGAATCCTTCCTTCAAATGGATTAAGACAGACGTGTTTATTAAGTACTTACTGTGTGTTTGGGACCATGCTAAATATTATGGAATGTGAAAGAAAGTGAGTCCACACTGTTTTTAGTATACAGAACTGACATATGCCGGTGGGACTTAGAAAGCAGAGCTATAGAATTGAGTACCAAATAAAATGACATTTCACTTACATAATGCAAAAATAATCACATAATCCCTTTTCAGTAATTACCTCTACCCAAGCGTGGTGGCACATGCCTTTTCCTCCCAGCTCTCAGGAGGCAAAGGCAAGTGGATCTTTGTGAGTTCACATCGTGAGTTCTAGACCAAACCTTGTCTCAAAAAACTAAAATGAAAAGATATTAAAGATTTAACTATTATCTAATAATATAATAGTATGTTTTTGAAAGTTGAGATAGACTGGTTATATGCTGAACTATATGCATTATATATGTCACTCTATCTTGTTATGTGAAATCCATTTAGTGTCTTCTATGTGAGGATCTCACCTTAAATTCCCTAGGTACATTACTGGTTCATTTGAGTATCTGTATATGACTTTGTATCACTCATATACCTCCTGAAAACTATGTACTAATATGAAATGTTTTTCTCGTAATGAATGGGTTTTAATGATTCATTTTATGTGCTTGTATATTAAGCACTCGGTGGTATGCTTGGTGCCTTCAGAAGACAAGAGGGCTTTGGATCCCTAGAACTGGAGTTACAGGTGGTTTTGTGGTATAAGGACTTTCTACACCAGTTTTGAGCCACCATGTGGGTGCTGGGAATCAAACGTGGGTCCCCTAAAAGAGCAATCAGTGCTGTTAGCTTCTGAGCTATCGCTCCAACCCCAGATACTTTTTTTTTTAATTGAAGATTGTATTTCTGTTTTGGTATCTAACAAATCAGAGTTCCTACCATCAGTATTTCATTAAAAAAAAAAAAAAAACTTGAGAATACATGTAATTTAATACTTTTCTAGGTCCTAGGAATTTGGAGACTAAATCTTTGCCTAACAGCCAGGAAATAGACCTTAGAACTCAGCTGTTTCAACCTGGATTTTCATCCCCACAGCCTAAAAAGCACTGTTGTTAGTAGTTCTATATATTTGTACGTCTACCGAGTATTTTGAAGTTGAAAGCAGGTGAAGTGCATGTGGGAGGGAGGGTTTGCATACATCTCATCTCTGCCCAGTTTATTTTGTTTGCATCCTGAGATCAAAGGTAAAGTGAGTGAGTAGGCAGAGGGGAGGGTTAAGCCTAAGCTGACAAAGGTCATCACTACGACCAGAGTAAGAAATAAATTTTTGGTTGTGAGCCTAGCCTTTAATGGCTGAGCCATCTCTCCAGCCCAGCCAGAGTAAGAAATATATAACTACTTTTCTGTCTTCTTTGAAGATGATGGTATTTATTTATTCATCTATCTTTGTTAGAAATTTTGAAGGACTTATTTGGATATGGAACTTTAAATATTTATGTGACACAAAATCCATCTTTTAAAAATAGCAAATGGCTTGGCGTGGTGGCACACACTTATAATCCAGTCTGTCAGGAGGCAGGGCCAAGAGGATCACCACAAGTTCAAGGCCTGTCTGGCGTACATAGTAAGTTGGGGACCAGCCCAGTCTGCGAGGTCTGCATAGTGCGACCCTGTCTCCATACAAACAAAATAAAATGTGACAGTGGATGGAATGGTCAAAATAGTCCTCTGAGAAAAGAGGTGACCGATCTAATTCATCTTCCCAAACACATTCAGAATGCTGTAAGTGCAAAAAAAGTCCTGGAAATGGTTCTGTCTTACTGGTAAATACATTTAAAATGTATTTTAATTTAATTTTAATGGCTGAAAAATACATGAGTCTAGAGTAGTCTAGGAACAAAAGCTTTAGAGATGAACCATTAGAACAAACAGGAGCCGTATGGAATAGAGTGAAGCTGGTAGCCTCTGCATCTCAACTCCATAGCCTTGGAGAGTGCCTGAGCGGTGACTCAAGGATTTGTTCTCAGAGACAGGAAAAACTAAAGATGATTTTGCATAATTAGCTATTAGTTGTAGTTTGAGTTTTTACTCTAAAATTTCTCTTCACTCAGTCTTCACCAAAAAGCCGAGAATCAGTAATTATCCTTGGAAGCTCAAAGCAAATAGAGAGAGAGGAGGGTTAGACCTAAGTAAATATTTGGGTTTCTTATCCCTTTATTTTTTTTAAGTTTTGTTTGTTTTGAGACAATATTTCTATTGTATAGCTCAATTGAACATAAACTTAACTTTGAAGTACTAGGCTTGTAGGTAAATCAGCATGTCTGACTAATAATAGGTTTTTCATTAATGTCCATATGATCATATATTGTTAATCTTTTTTATTTTCTTTGGCCAGATAGATCTCTCACTCTCTCGCTTGCTGATTCTCTTGCTCTCTCTCTCCCTCTCTCTCTCTGGAAATAGGATTTATTTTGTGGTCTTGATTGTTAAATATACCTACATACATAAACTGTGTTTGTTCTCTTTTGCTTTTGTAACCCTTTAACTGAGCAAAGACATACTATTTAAGCTAAACTATTTTTCCATTTCTAGGCCTTAAGGAGAGTGCAGAAGAAATGGTCAAAAACAAGTTGGAGGGAAAGGATAAGCTGACCCCTTGGGAACAATTTTTAGAGAAGAAGAAAGAAAAGAAAAGACTGAAAAAGAAACAGAAGGTATCCATGTTAATTGGTCAGGTGTTTATTGAATGCCAGTTGTGTGCCTCACACCCCACCTGTAGTTTTGAAATGCATGTCTCTATGACAGAATCTTGCTGTCTGGCCCACACTCCATCCCAGTTCTGGGACTGTAGGTGTGGACCGCCACACCCATCTACAAGGAAGTAACTGATCTTTAAGTGGCAAAGTAGGATAAGAGCCCTGCCCCCTTGATATGGTACCTCCTTTTACTAAGCTTTCTTCAAAACTTAAATAGGCAGTTAAATGCTATTTGTCGAATGATTCCACAAGTAATAAAGGTAGCAGTTTTGGGGAAGATTTTCTAAGTGAGTCTTGATAGAGTTAATAAAATACTCAGAGACTTTCCCCTACACTTGTACTTTATCCTTTTTCTGATTTTGCTTCGTTTGTTTGTTGTTTTTCAAGACAGTTTCTCTGAGTAGCTCTGGTTGTCATGGAGCTCACTTTGTAGACCAAGCTGATTGCAAACTCTGAGATCCATCTGACTCTGCCTCCTGAATGCTGGGATTAAAGACAAGCAGCAGCACCACCACCACACTAATGTTCTCTTTTTCTTATTTGTATCCCTTTAATTTCCTTCTCTTGCCTTATTGCTCCAGGTAATGAATGCATCAAGCTCAATATTGAAAAAATGTAGGAACAATGGACAGACTTATCTTGTTTCTTATTTCAATAGAATTGCTTTAATTTTTCTCCATTTAGGATGGTGTTGGCTGTGTGTTTGTCACATAGAGCTTTTATTATATTGAGATATATTCCCTCTAGCACCACTCTCTTGGATTTTTATCATGATGGCATGTTGGATTTTTGTCAAAGGCTTTTACTTAATCATATGATTTTTCTTTTTAAGTATATTTATGTTATTTATTACATTATTGGCTTGCATGTGTTGAGCCATACCTGTATCTAGGATAAAGCCAACTTGGTCATAGTGGATAATCTTTTTGATATATGTCTGTCTTCAGCTTGTAAATATTTTATTGAGTATTTTTTTAATCTATGTTCATCAGGGATATTGGCCTGTAATTTTTTTTTTTATGTTGTATCTTTACCTGGCATTGGGATTAGAGCAATACCAGCATGCATCATAGTAGGAGTTTGGGAGTACTCCTATTGCTGTTATTCTTTTAAAAAGCTTTTTTGCAAGAGTTAAAGTGTTCTGCCTGCCTGTACACCTCCGTGCCAGAAGAGGGCACTAGATCTCATTGTAGATGGTTGTGAGCCACCTTTTGGTTGCTAGGAATTGAACTCAGGACCTCTGGAAGAGCAACCAGTTGCTTAACCACTGAGTCATCTCATTTTTTTCAAAATTTGAAGAAGACTGGCTCAGATCTTTGAAAGTGGTAAAATTCTTCTGGGCTTTTTTTTTTCGCCAACGGAAGCCTTATTGCTTTTTCAATCTCATTTGTTATGCGTCTGTTGAGATTGTTATAACTTTGATAGTCTGGATAAATCTACAAATTCAAGTTCCTCTTTTTTTTTTTTTTTAGATTGTTCAATTTAATAGCATTGGGGTATTTTAAATATTCCCTTATCTGAATTTCTGTGTGTTGTAATGTTTCCCTGTTTATTTCTGATTTTGTTATTTGGGTTCTCTATCATTCTTTTGGTTAGTTAGGCCAGAGCCTCTGTCAACTTGTTTATCTTCTCATAGAAGCAGCTCTTAGATTTGTTGATTCTTCATATTGGTTTCTTTGTTTTGGTTTCATTGGTTTCTGCTCTGGTTTTTATTATATCTTGCCATCTACTGGATTTGTTATCATTTTGTCCAAAATTTTTAGTTGCATCATTAAGTCATTTATTTGTGCTCTTTATAATTTTGGTATGTAGGCACTTAGGGACTTGCAGGACTGTTTTTAATGTCTCCCAAAGATTTTGTTGCATTGTAGTTTTATTTTCTTTTAGTTTCAGAAAATTTTTTTCTTGATTTCTTCTTTGACTCATTAATCATTTTAATAATGACTTGTTTACTCTCCTTGAGTTTGTATACTTGAGATTTATTTGGTATTGATTTTAGCTTTTATTTAACTATGGTCAGGTAAGATACATGGAGTTAATTGATTTTAATTGTTTTGTGTTCCATGATACATTCTATTATAGAGAAGCTTCCATGGGCTGCTGAGTAAAATGCATATTCTTTGATGTTTGGGTGGAATAAGTTCATTGGATGTATAATATCATTTGTTTGATGTTTCCCTGTTCATCTTTTATCCAAATGATCTTTCTACTGGAGGAAGCTGGATATTGAAATCACCTACTTTTAGTGGGCTGATATTAATCTATGTTTTTAACTATAGTAGTATACATGAAATTAGGTGACCAGTTTCTGTACATATATGTTAAGATAGTAATATCTTCTTGGTTAACTATGCCCTTGATTAAAATGAAGTACCTTAAGTAGTTTGAATGTAATTGACCCCTACAAGCTCATTGGGAGTGGCACTATTAGGAGTTGTGGCTTTGTTGGAGTAGTGTGGCCTTGTTTTAGGAAGTTTGTCATTGTGCTTTGAGATCTCCTGTGCTCAAGATACCCCCAGTGTCTCAGTTCACTTCCTGTTGCCTGTGGGTCACGGACTCTTAGCTTCTCCAGCACCATGTTTGCTAGAATGTAACTTTGTTGCATTATGATGATAAGGGGCTAAATTTCTGAAAATGTAAGTCACTCCAGTTAAATGTTTTCCTGTACAAGAGTTGCTGTGGTCATGGTGTCTCTTCACTGCAATAGAAACCCTAACCGAGACAGTGCCCTTTATCTCTTTTGATTAGTTTCCGATTGAGGTCTGTCAGATGTTAGGACAATAACACCTACTTGCTTCCTGTCCCTGTTTGTTGGAATACTTCTTTTCATCCTTTCTGTTTAAGATGGTGCCTATCTTTAACGCTGAGTTTCTTGTAGACAACAGAGAGATGAACTTTGTATCTTAATTCATTTAACCAGCCTGTGTCTTTTAATTGGAGAGTTGAGGTGATTAATATTTAAATTATTGAAAGGTGTGTGTTGATTGCTGACATTTTTATTGGGTTTTTGTTGTTGTTTGGTTGTTGTTTTTGTTTGATTTGGTATTTATGTTCTTAGTTGTATTAGTATTCATTAATTACATCTTCATTTGCCTTCTTTCTAGGGTCTCTTGGCTATGCTTATTCTTCACTAAGTACTGTTTCCAGTATTCTCTTGAGGCTTGGTCTTTCTGGACATTAACTCTTAGCCTATTTGCGTGGTGGAAAGTTTTTCTTTCTCCTTCAACTATAGCAGATGACTTTGCTTGGTACAGTAGTCTACGTAGGTGGTGTTGTAGAACTTGAAGTGCCTTGTGCTCTGGTTTTCAAAGTTTCCATTGTGAAACTAGCTGTTATTCTGATGGATTTTCCTTTTTATGTGATTTAGGATTTTCCTCTTAGAGCTTTCAGTATTTTCTTTGTTGTTTTTAAGTGTTTTTATGTTGTGGGAAGTTTTGCTTATGGTATTATCTTTTTTGTATTAACAACTGTGCTTCTTAGATCATCTGGGTATGTCTTTCCTTAGTTTGAAAGTTTTTTTCTATGATTCTTTTGAACATCTGGTCTTTGCCATTGATCTGGGATCATTTATGCCTGTAATTAAAGATTTGGTCTTGCCATGAAATCCCCGTTTCTATACTATGTTTTGTTTTGTGTTTCTGCTTTTTTTTTTTTCATATTTTTCTTGTCTTACTCCCCTAGTTTGTCTTAAGATTCTGATAGTATCTCTTATATTTGATCAATTTTACTTAAACGATTTTTCTCTTGAGTTTTCTGATTGTGCTGTTTTTCAATTCCATCTTCATTTTAACTTAAGATCTCTTCAATATCCCTATGCCTGTTGAATTCCTTTCTCAAATCTTATATTGTCTTTGTCATGGTATTTCAGCCTTGTTTGTGTTTTCTTGGACACCACTCTTTGAGTTCATTGAGCTATTCAGTTGTGTCTTTAAACTCTGAATCTGTGTATGATTGTTCTGTTCTGTGTCCCTGGGGTTCATCTTGGCAATACTCGCTAGACAACATTTCTATAGAACTGGTGGATTTGGGAGGACATACTGACTTGTCTTTGATAGTTTTTGTGCAGTGAGACCTGAAAGTGTGGGCTTCTTGTGTTGGTCATGTATTTGATGTGAGCACAGCAGGCTCATGTGATGCCTGGAGATTAGGGCAGGCATGAGTGGGGTAAGCCTGGGAATTAGGAAGGGTGCAGTCATGGTAGGGTCAGGTGGGATCACCAGACTGAACCAGAACACATGATGTACAGGCTTAGCTGGGCCTTGAAGCTGGATCTGGCACAAGCCCTCCAGGGCCAGAGTTGGGAGGAATTGTGCCATGCACCAGTTTCTCACCACCTGGGATTGGCTAGAGGGTCACTCTGAATGAAGGCTCCCAAGTTTGGCAAGTGCCAGAGGGAGGAAAAGCAGCAAAGAGGAGATCTGGACTTACTAACATTTAAAATACATACAGTAAATAATCAATTGCCTGCACCAGTCTTGTTAACAGCCTTCGGACTCCTCGGTGCCTTTAAAGCTTAGGGGATCATTTTGCATTCAGGATGAATAGATTCTAAGCATATTTAGTAAAATGACAGGGATGTTTTAGAAAAAACCCAGTCTGGTTAGTATTAATCTCGATTTACTCTATGGTTTTATTTGTTAGTTAAATAGACCAATACAATGTAGGAAGTCTGTTCAAATTATATTAGGGAAATATCTATGTCTGAGTCCTACTTTGGTTTCTGTTGCTATGATAAAATATTCTGACCTGAAGTAACTTGGGGAAAGAAAGGGTTTATTTCATCTTACACTTCCAGGTCATATGCTGTGTGAAAGGTCAGTGTAGGTTAAAACAGGAGTGCTGCTTTCTGGCGTGTTTCCTTTGGATTCCTCAGCTACATTCTTTATGCAACCCAGGACTAAAGATGGCATTATCCACAGTGGACTAGGCCCAACTTCATCAATTAGCCGTTTAATTAGTACCCCCACAGACGTGGCCACAGGCCAGTCTAATGGAGGCAATTCTTCAAGTTTCTGTCAAGTTTACAAAAACTGAACAGCACAGTATGCACCTTACAACTTTCTGAGGACAGGGATCCCATACTTGATAATATTCTTTTCTTATAAAAATCATAGTTTCCTTTAATTATTTTCCATGCCTATGTAAACATAGAGCTACAGACAGTTTGAGCTGCCATGTGGGTGGTGCTCTTAACTTCTAAGCCATCTCTTCAGCCTCTATATTGAATATCTTGACTTCAAAAATGTTTCATTTTCTTCATAGTCACATACTTCAGTCTTTATAATGTTGCAATTCTTTTTACATTCATCTTTAAGGCTCTTGCTGAAGAAGCCAGTGAAGATGAGCTTCCCTCTGATGTTGATTTGAATGATCCCTACTTTGCTGAAGAAGTTAAAAAAATAGGTAAGCCAGCCTGTACTTGTGATTTTTCAGTTGGAATACAAAGAAAAGAATAATATGGGTTGAAAAAAAAAATAGTTGAAACTAGTCATTCTCTCAAATATGCTAGAATTTGGATAGCTTAATTAATGGTTTATACCATGTCTGTCCTGAAGAGTTCAATCATAAGTCATATTGAGAAGAACCAACATGCCTCTTGTATATAGAAGATATAAAGTAATTCCATCATGAAGGACTTTTTTAAAATATTTATTTTTAAGTTCTGTGTATGACTCTTTTGCCTGCATGTATGTGGACTACATGCATGTAGTGTTCAAAGGGGCCAGAAGAGGATGTCAAAACACCTAAAACTAGAGTTGCAGATGGTTATGAGCTGCCGTGTAGTCTGGAAACCTAACCTGGGACCTCTACAAGAGCAGGTCTCTGCAAAGGCAGTGAAGAATTTGTCTAGCATGTATGCAGTTTTTAAATGTAAGCATAAAATGATAGTATAATAGCCTTTTCTATTCAAATATACAAAGGCATCTATGCTTAATATTTAGTCCCTCTTTCATTTACCCTTGTTAAATACAGTTTAAAAGCCAGCTTTTCTCATAGCTCCAATTTTCTTCAAATCCCTAGGCTAAGATGACTTAGCGGCTTCCTATGTCTAAAGAGTCTTGTCTCCATGGTTTTTATACCACTTATGCTTCCCAGATACTTTCATTTGGATCTTTTGGGTGTATGTGTTTGGTAAGGTTGAGGCCATACTTGGCAAGTTTGTGCAGAAAGCACTGTAAGTATTCATTGCTGTTGTGTGCTTTGCCTTCCCCTCATCCTTATTTCCACACACATGAACTCCCAGTACTTATTCTTGAGAGCGCCAAGCTGGCCTTGTAAAGAGAAGTAGTTTATGAGATCTCCCTGCTTCTTGTCCCTGCTGACCAGTGGGCCAGAACAGTTCTCAACAGGAAAAGTCAAAATGCTTAAAATTCTTTCCTGGTTTTTACGGCCCTTTAGCACTGACATTTTATTGGTGAAAGGAGATTAAGTTGAATAAATTCTATTATATGCTATGAGATTCTTAGGAATTGAAAAGGGAAATGGAAACCTAGCATATTCGCTTTTTCTCATACCTTTGTAATCATTTCTAAAAGATGATTAGCCTTGTCCCTTGACTGAACAAAGTTTATTATTGAGAACTGTGAAGCATTAAAGCTTCCTTGTTCTGTGTCCAAAGTGCTTCATTTGACATATATAATCTGGTCAGATTGCAGAGCTCAGAGCAGCATTCAGAGAATAACTTAAATAGTTCAGTAGTGTAAAGTAGCAGCTAAATTGCATGTAAGCTTTCCCTGGCATTAGTATCAAACATTCTGAGTAAGTGGACAATATAGGCAAAATTTGTTTTCAATGTGTTTTTTATTTCAGAATGCTCCATAAGAATTGTTTCTATCATCTGGTTTTGTTTGTTTGTTTTTCAAAGCAGGGTTTCTCTATGTAGCTTTGGGGGCTGTCCTGGAACTCACTATGTAGACCAGACTGGCCTCCAACTCATAGAGATCCACCTGCTTCTGACTCCTGAGTGCTGGGATTAAAGGCGTGCACCACCACCAACTTCTATCTTGTTTTAAAAGTTAATGGTACTTCGTTGTTTTAAAGGAAAATAGAATGAGAACTTTTTACATGAAATGTATGACTAAAATGGGTGTCTTGCCAAGTTTGTTCACTCTGTCATTAAATATTGTGATTGTCAGATGCAGTGCAGTCCGATAAACTAGAGCTATAGCAGTAGCAATAAAGGCAAGATGGCATCTTTTGTACAGTCTGGTTTCAGGGAAGATGTACTAAAAGTAGAAGCAAGATTATGTGAGTGTGGTGTTTAAAAGAGTGGTGCAGAGAAGATAACGAGGGAGAGAAAGAGAAAATGTTGTGTCTTGTAAATAGAATAGGCAGAGAAGGCTCCCTGGAGGTGTTGAGATTTGAGTTGGGACCTTGGGCACAGACTGCCAGAGGAAGAGCATTGCACAGGAAGGAAAAGGATGTAAAGTGAGAAAGGACATTTTGTGCATTGTTGAAGGAACTGAAGACCATCGTATGGCTGGGGCACCGTCAGAGAGGGAGTTCTGTGTGGAGCTAGGGTGGATTTCTAATAGGAAGGGACCTGCAGAGCTTTGTTGTCTTGACAGAAAGTTAGGATTTTATTGTTGACCGTAGCAAGCCACCAAATAGCTTTAAAGCAGGAAAGTGACGTCATCTGGTGTGTCTCTTAACATATTGCTGATTCCTGCAAAGAAAATATGTTGAAAGAGACACTAGTGAGAGCTAGAAAACTCAATTTTACAAAAAAAAAAAAAAAAAAAAAAAAAAAAAAAAAAAAAANCACCTTTAATCCCAGCACTCGGGAGGCAGAGGCAGGCGGATCTCTGTGAGTTCAAGACCAGCCTGGTCTACAGAGCTAGTTCCAGGACAGGCTCCAAAGCTACAGAGAAACCCTGTCTCGAAAAACCAAAAAAAAAAAAGAAAGAAAACTCAATTTTAACAGAAAAAAAGTTCATTGTTGGCCAAAAAAAACAGATCATTTTGAGGGGAGTTATTGCCAAAGAAAATCAATTAAATGAGTTCTCAAGTTTAAAGAGGTTGCTTTGGCCAGGATAACTAAGAATGGATAAAGACGAGACATAAATCTGAAGGCCAGACAAGAGGCAAAAGTATAGAATGTGCATCAAGGCCACAGGAAAGGAGACCAAGACAGAAGAGAACCAGCTGAACCTCACAGGGTGTTTCACAAAAAGAAAATGCCCCTTTTAAGTAGTAGTGTAAACAGAGTGCAAAGCCGTTTGCACACCTGGTATCCATTCAGTGAGCAAGCACTCATTGTCAGAGACTTTCAGCACTTGTTAGAAGATACTTCCATAAAGCCTCACACCATATAATAATACAGACTACATATCTGACATATGGTGGTTCAGTAACCTGATACCTAGAGACCAAGCCAACTTAGCTTGGGTAAGAATACTCTGTAATGTTCACATAGTGGCAGAGTTTACTAATGGCATATTTCTTAGACTACAATCCAACTTACTAAATGACCCATGACTTCTGTCATCATGATGTCTTCTCCCATACTTTATGCATCAGTACAATTACTTACAGTACAACTGGACTTTGAAATAAATGGTTGGTATATATTGTACATATGTATAAACAGATAGATTTAATGAATAATTTTCAGCTAATTTCTGTAGTTGGAGACTACTCTTTCATTTCCTAGCTGTCCAGACCTAAATAATCACAGAAACTGTGTTATTACAATATTGCTTGGACAATAGCTTAGGGGTATTCCTACCTAGCTCTTACATCATAAATTGACCCATTTCTATTGATCCGTGTATCACCACGAGACTGTGGCCTATCGATAAGTTCTGGCATCTGTCTCCTTGACTCTGCCTACTCTCCATATCTGTTCGGATTTCCTGCCTGGCTTTATTCTGCCCTGCCATAGGCCGAAGCAGTTTTGTTTTGTTTTTTTGTTTGTTTGGTTGGTTGGTTTTTTTTATTAACCAATGATGTGGGATTCCCCTCTGTATGCTGTGAATATGTCTTATTACCACTAGTTAATAAAGAAGCTATTTCCGCCAATGACTTAGCAGAGTAAAGTCAGGCAGGAAATGAGAACAGAGAGAGGGTGTGTGAGTAAGTAGAGTCAAGGAGACATGTAGCTGCCGAAGGAGAAAGACAGACGCAAGAACAGATGTCAGAACCTTACCCCATAAGCCATACATACCTCGTGGCGATACACAGAATAATAGAAATGGGTTAATTTAAGATATAAGAGATAGCTAGGAATATGCCTAGGTCGTTGGCCAAACAGTGTTATAATTAATATAGTTACTATGTGGTCTGAGCAGCTGGGAAATGAACAAGCATTCTCCGTTTACAAACCAATTGGTAATAAAACATTCACAGCATACAGAGGGGAACTCCATATCAAATTTGTTCTTTCCAGGATAAATGACCTTTTCTTTACCAGTGTATATACAAAGTATAGCAAAGAACAAAGATTTGATGTAATGTTCTGTGCTCATGATCCAACAGGGTGTAGGAAGACAGTGTCCTAGTTTAGTTTCTGTTGCTGTGATAAAACACTGGCTACTACCAACTTGGGAAAGGAAGGACATATGTCTTAGTTGGGATTTTTATTGTTGTGAAGAGACATAAGCACAGCAACTCTTAATAAGGAAAACATTTGAGGCTGGATTCCAGTGTCAGAGGTTTAGTCCATTATCATAATGGCAAGCATAGCAGCAAGCAGGCCCACGTGGTGCTGGGAAAGGAGTTGAGAGTTCTGATCTTGATCTACAGGTAGCAGCAGGAAACTGCCACACTAGGACTAGCTTGAGCTTATGAGACCGCAAAGCCCACTTCCATAGTGACAGACTTCCTCCAACAAGGCCACACCTCCTAGTAGTGCCGCCACTCCCCATGGCCAGGCATTCAGACATAAGTCTATGGGGGCCATTCCTCTTCAAATCACTTGTGTGACATTTCCACAACCATCCGTCATCTCAAGGTGATGTCCCTTCCTAGAGGAAGAGGTTTGTTCTAGAGGAAGGAACAGACTGGAGCAGAGACTGTAGAAGAGCACTGCTTCTTGGCTTGCACAGCTTCCTTTCTTATACCACCCAGAATCATTTGCCCAAGGGTGGCATGGACCACAGTGGCTGGATCCTCCCACATCAACCATTAATCAAGAAAATGCTCCACAGACATGCCCACAGGCAGTCTGATGAAAGCAGTTCCCCAATTACGATTCCTTTTCCCAAATATGCCTCGGTTTCTGTCAAGTTGACAAAACCAACTAGCATGTATGGAAGCCTACTTGTAGTCTTAGAGAAGTCAGTTCCTGTAAGGAAGTAAATAAGAGCTTTTGTATTTTCGTTTGTGCCCCCAGGAGTAAGGCTTGATAGTGGGTTCTTTTTTTCTCTTCAGTAGTGGTTAGACAATAGGTATTCTTAAATGGAGCTGGTGTTAGCTCAAAATTCATTGTCTTGGGGTTTTTTGTTTGTTTGTTTGTTTGTTTGTTTTATTTGCTTTGTCTTTACTCAGGTAGCCTAAATTGATATATAAATGTATCGTCACAATATTGCCTTCATTGTTAATTTGTTAAGATAAATCTTGGAGATTGGTACTATAGAAGTAAAATGCAGTCATTACTTAAGGATATATACCTAGTTTCCAAAAATATTCAAGACATAATGATTAGCAGTATGATATGCCATGTTTTGTTGATAATCATGGGAGCCCTTCCCTTTCCTAAACAGAAACTGAAGGGGAATGTATGTGGGGATGGGAACAGAGTGAGCCTTAGAGGGAAGAGCTAGAAAGAAAGGAGAGAGGAGAAAGTACAGCCAGGAAGTAAAATAAATAAGTAAATGAGTTTTTTTTTTAACAAAAAAAAAATTATGTAGTTAAGAGTGTACATAACCAGAACAGTAGTATAAGAAGGTGAGCTGGAGTATATTTATAACATACTTGCCCTTGGGCATCCTGTAGAGCTAAACTTATACACCTTATAAAATTGTATAAACTTTCAATATGTGAAAGAATTGATTTTGATTGATGTCAGATGTGGTATTTGGGTTGGGTTAGGAGCCAGTGTGAGCACCAGAGATTTGTTACAATTTTTCCCCCAAACTGCAATTTGTTATTAAAAGAGTTAGGAGAATTTTGAAAATATACTTCTAAGATGAAAGTTTTTTTTTCTTTTGGAAATGAAATATTTGAAGTGATGTTTTGTTTGTGTTTCAACAAATAAAACTAATCTGAAGATCAGAGCTAAGCCACTAGAAGCCAGGGAGTGGTGGCACACACCAGGACAGAGGGCTCTTTGTTGGTTCTAGGCCACCCTGGGCTATATAAGATTGAATCTGTCTAAACAAGAACCAGAGCTCACACAAAGGTGATCCTAGCACTTGAAATCTCATGCCTTCAATTTCAGCACCAGGGAGGTGGAGACAGGAGTGATATGGCTGTCGGACAGAGAGAGGACTGTATGGCAGGAGGAGACAAGAGTTCAGTGTACTCTGAGGCTTTTTGGAGACAAATGCAGTCTGAGGATGGATTGCCCCTTGTGTCTGAGCATTGATAGAAGTAAAAAGAACTCTAGTGGCTGGTCACTTTGCTTCTCTGATTTTCAGCATTAAGGCCAATGTCTAACACTGGGTTTTTAGTATTAATACCAATTAGAATTTGTGCTACAGACATTGGAATTATTTTCTTATTGCCAATTTGTAACTTTCCCCTTTTTTAGTGCTAAGGATAGACTGAAGGCAAGCACTTGACCCCTAAGCCTTACCCAGCCCTAATTGTATAAACTCTATAAAGATTTTGCTTGGGGGCTGGAGAGATGGCTCAGTGGTTAAGAGCATTGCCTCTCTTCCAAAGGTCCTGAGTTCAATTCCTGGCAACCACATGGTGGCTCACAACCATCAGTAATGAGGTCTGGTGCCCTCTTCTGGCCTGCAGGCACACATGTAGAAAGAATATTGTATACATAATAAATAAATAAATAAATATTTAAAAAGAATTTTGCTTTTGAAAAAGTAGGACTAAAGTGTACAGTACATCTCTTTAAAAAAAGAAAGAAAAGGGCTGGAGAGATGGCTCAGAGGTTAAGAGCATTGCCTGTTCTTCCAAAGGTCCTGAGTTCAATTCCCAGCAACCACATGGTGGCTCACAACCATCCGTAATGGGGTCTGGTGCCCTCTTCTGGCATACACACAGACAGAATATTGTATACATAATAAATAAATAAATATTAAAAAAAAGAAAGAAAAAAAGTCATAGTATCAGCACAATTACTAAGAAACTTAAAACATGTATAATCAGACAATAATGGCAATAATTGCAGGTACCATATAATAATATGTGCCAAACAGTAACTATATTCTTACAGTTTACTAATCCATGGAGTCCCTAGACTAACCCTACAGGTAGTTGCCTTTATTAAATTCCATGTTTGGGGCTGGAGAGATGGCTCAGTAGCTAAAAGCACCTACTTCTTTTGCAGAGAATTCCATTTCAGTTCCCAGCACCCACATGGCAATTCAATTGTAACTGTAATTCCAAGGGATCTGATACCCTCTTCTGACTTGGTACACACACATACATGCAGGATATAGCTCAGGGTGTAGAGGGGCTTGCTGCCATGTCCAGGACCTCAGATTCCCAGGACCCACATGATAGGAAGGGAAAACCAACTCCCACAAGTTGTCCCTTGGCCTTCACACTTGATGTGTTGCATGCATAGCTAGCTGCATACCTACACACCAAAATAGGTTTAAAAATAAAAAAACAAACCTGTTTTACAGATAAGGGCATAACCAATTCTTTTTTTCTAGGATGAAGCAAATTGTTCATTCTTTTAAATAACCTGTGTGGGATTTTTGTTTTCTCTCCAAAAGAACTAAGCCATTTTGTTCAGTACATGGTCTAGTGATTCTCTTTATTAATTACTGGTGTTTTGCTTTGGTTTTGAGGTGGTCTCACTATATACAGACTCACAACTCACAACCTTTTGTCCTCTGCTGAGTGCTAGAGTTACAGAAATGTGCCACACACCAACAGAAATACCTTCCTTGCGGTACTTAGTCACCTTCCAGAAGGCTTGTGTACGCTGTTTATGCCCATGGCCTTCTTCATTTTGTTTATAGTATAAACAGATGTTGCCTGTTAATCTTGTCGTTTTAACCCTCCTCTGTTGGTTTGTTGTACCAGGTATAAAGAAGAAATCAATGAAATGTGCAAAGGGCAGCACATCTTCAGAGGAAGAAACTGAACTAGAAAAACAAAAGGTAGAAAGTGGTCGTTGTTGAGTATTTATCGATGCTTGGTCTGAGGAGTTGGAATGATGTGGTTCATGTGGGTTTTCAGTGTCTCTAATTTTAAAACTGATTTTTCCAGTGGGTTTTTAAATACATTATAAGATACATAAATATTCTAGTCACATATTTTTAAATGTTACCTTTAACCAAACACTATTTCTCCAGCTATTATGGAGTAAAAGTTTCTCAAGCCCTTTATGAATAAGGAGATATTCTCATTCTCACCCTTTAATATGACTGAAACAGAAGATATTGTTGTTGGAACATAAAGTAATATTTGCATATCCTTTGAATCTATTGGTCCTGTTACAGTTTCTGTTACAGATTGTCAAATGCTAATTTCTCTTTTATTAGTAGTAAATACAAGTTTAATGTACAATGCTAAATCTTAATGAGAAATGCTGTGAAGCTTATGCGTAACACAGGGGCGCAGGCTTTGGGCCTGACTGACCGCCCAAACTGTTCAGTTTAATACATTCTTCTGTTCTCTCCCCCATTGCGTGTTAAGTAGTCCTCATAAGACATGGGACATGATTCAGTAAGGAAGCTGAATGTGAGTGCCAGTGGTGGAAGGAAAAGAAATTAAAGTGTTCATATGTGTAAGGGTCACAAAGCATTGCTTGTGGTTGTTTGCTTGACTCGTGAGGTGTCTCTCTGATGTCATGGTCAGGAGAAACAGAATACTTGGTCTCAGAAGTAAATGCTGAGTCTGCTCATGAAAGTCTATTAGTATTGAAAGATAAAAAAAAAAAAAAAAAAAAAAAAAAACGAGCAAAGAATTTTCCTAGTTGCTAAAGTGCACATCTGGAAGCTGTAATTTGAATCACAAAGTAAATTTCCTGTCATTAGAGAAAACAAGGTGGAAATGAAATGTATTTGAAAGACCCGGGGCTCTCGTTCCCGTGCTTGCTAATCAGATTACTCTACAAGGATGGACACCTGTCCTTTGCATAAAGACTATCTATTCCTTTCCTCCTTTCTTGTAGCTAGTCCACATCACAGCCTCGAATGGACCTACACTATGTGTCTTGGGCCTCTTTCTACTCTCCACTCATTGACTGTAAGCAGTCCTCAGAGTAGCAGTGCAGGAAAACTCTGCTGTACGTTTGAAGCTTTGTCTGTTTCTTTCCATAGGCTGAAATGGCCTTGCTTGTAATGGATGAGGAAGAAGACAGCAAGAAACACTTCAATTATGACAAGATTGTGGAACACCAGAATCTGAGCAAAAAGAAGAAGAAAAAGCTTATGAAAAAGAAGGAGTTGCTTGAGGATGACTTTGAGGTAACTGGCAGCACAAGTCATTATTAGCTCCTTGAAGGTGGAATTAAATCTAAAGGCAGTTCTGGATATAGAAATTAGACATGAAGTTACCCTTGAAAAACCCTTAAAGGTCCCTTAATGGTAATAGAGCAACTGTTCTGTAATCTAACACAGTTCATCCCAGAGTGATGAGCTCTAAGTGAAATTGTTACCTTTAATTTGGTAGCTGTGTTAAACAAAAATCTGTGGCCTTCAAATGGTAAAACCACAAGCAGTGACAGGCATGCCTTGAGAGGTAGTTGAGCATGGAGGGGTTCGCATGATATTGGGCTCACTCCCCCTGTGGACAGTAGCCAACATAGTGGGTAACCCTTTTTTCATTGCTTCGTGTCACGTTTCTGTTCCTGTTCAGTTTTCTTATGGTAAGTGCCTGGTCCTAATGCCCATATTTTACTAGGAGTTACTTAACATTTTCCACTAGTGAACTTGGAAGAAGAGACGGTTGAATGTTGAATTTGGCTAAATTGGAGGGAAGGACATCAGCTTCTTCATAGTATGTAGAATGATCGCAAGGCCACTGTTGCTCTACCTGTCCATGTATGCTTCTATCCCCATGAAGTTTCTGATGAACTGTTTTTTCTAATTAAAAAGCAAAGAATAATTTCTTATTATGCGTCCTGCCTTCACACATAACTATGCGTAAAATATTTTTCGTGGAGCTGTGATATGGTCCAGCAGGTAGTAGCACTTGCCTCTGAGACTGACAGCCAAGTTCAGGCCCCGTCTTCCACGTGGTGCAGAAGAGAACTGACACTCTCATGTTGTCCTCTAACTTCTACACACCACACGAACTTTTTTTTCCATGAGGGCTGTGGAGATGGTTCAGTGGGTAAAGAACTTGCTGGACCTTCATAAGACCTGAGTTTGGCTCCCAGAACCCCACTAAAAGCTAGGAGCAGTAGCATATGTGTATAACCCAGGGCTGTAGGGGATAGAGACAGACTGATCCTGGGGACCTGCTGACAGCCAGCCTTCCCAGGTGATAAAGCTCCAGCTTCATTGAGAGAAACTATCTTAAAATACAAGGCAGACAATGTTAAAGGAGACACCTGTCATCAACCTCTTGTCTCTGCATGCAGGCACAGACACCTGTACACACATATGCACACACACAGAATTTTCGTGAGAGTTCCTTTGTTACTCTTGGTATCATGTCTGTTGTTTTCGCTATAACTAAGTAAAGCTGTAATCCATCTCCAGTACACTCAGGTTTTTTCTTTGTTGTTCACTGCTAAGCCTGACTGGATTGACAGGTATACTTTTTAAGGTACAACCATAGTGCTTTTTGTAGAAACATCTAGAGGATAAGTTTGAGGTTTATATCTTAAAAATCTTGGACTGGAGAGTGGATTTCTTTGCCCTCACCTAATAACTGTTTGTGATTCCAGGGTGATTAAACCTAGCACTTCACACAGGTTTAGGCTAGTACTACCATTGAGCAACATCTGCAGCTACCGTTTTGCATTATATTTTCCAGCAGTGTTTTGCTAAGATGCCCAAGGTGGTCTTAAATTTGTAGTTAAGCCTCCTGAGTAGCTGGGATTACTGCCCCATACTACCTGGCCTAGCTAGTAACTACTTTTGCTTAACACCAAGTTTAAAATTTCTTAAAATTGCACATAATGCAGTGACTGCTTAAACTCCAAGCAGTTAAGCAGTGTCCAAATTGACTTATTTATGATGGACAGAAGTCAGTATTATGCTAAGTGAGGAGTAGAAGCCCTGCCTTGGGAACCACTTCCCTGACAGTGAAAGTAATGATCCAGTTACATACCACTATACACATGGGCCACTATTCTTCCCTTTCAAGTAGATTGGTTTTGGGGGAAGAGAACAGCGTATCCTTCACATTGTGATTGAAGGGCAGGCCTTAAGAGTCCATTGAGTCTACTCTGGATGTGGTGGCACATGCCTATAATCCGAGTTCTTAGGACGCCGAGACCTGGAGGATCTTGTGTTCAAGAGCAGCAAGTTATAGTCCAGCCTAGACTTAAAAGACAGACCTTGTCTCAAATAACAAAGTAAAAGACTTTTTTTGGTTGTAGAAAATGGTTCTGATGCCTCATTGCACAGTGCGCACACTTGTATACTAAGAACCAGCAGCTCTTTGCCTTTATTTACTTATTTGTTCTCTTTGAATTCACAGGTAAATGTTAGCGACGCACGGTTTCAGGCAATGTACACTTCCCACTTATTCAATTTGGATCCTTCTGATCCTAATTTCAAGAAGACAAAAGCTATGGAAAAAATTCTTGAAGAGAAAGCTCGGCAACGAGAACGAAAAGAAGAACTACTTACTCAAGCAGTGGAGAGAGCTCAGCAGGACACGGGAAAGGCAGCACAGAAGCAGCACTCAGATCCTGCCTTGTCTTTGCTGATTAAATCCGTGAAAAACAAAACAGAGCAATTCCAAGCCAGAAAAAAACAGAGAGTCAAATAGCTGGACACTGTCTCTGTGCTCTCAAGTACACAGAAATAGTTTAAGGGTTAATGGGAATGTAGCTATCTTAACCCCAGCACTCGGGAGGCAGAGGCAGGAGGATCTCTGTGAGTTCGAGGCCAGTTTGGTCTACAAAACAAGATCCAGGACAGGCTCCAAAGCCAAACAAAGAAACCCTGTCTCAAAAATTAAAAAAACAAACAAAAATATATGTAAAAAAAAATGGTGTCCATTTTTTTGTGTACAGATTAAAAACAAATTTTTAAAAAGTATATATGGATATGTACATATATATTTATGTTTATATAGTACCTTAATCTCTCAAAACTCGAAGCAGAGCTAAATAGCTATTAAGATAATTTATTTTCGTAGCATAAAGGATGAAGCTGTGAACTTTTTTCCATGCTTAGTAATTTGCATGTAGAGCTATTGGATGAGCAGAAGTGCACAGTGTCTACTAGTTTGCGTTTTTTACTAGTTTTTATAGTGTCGGTTTGCCTCATATATGTACTTCAGGCAGACTATTCTGAAAAAAAAACTGAAATAAGACTGATGAAAGAAACAGTTCCTTGGAAAGAGTTTCATTTTTATATTGCACATAATTTCATTTGAAAGGCTCGTGGGCTCTGCAGTCATGTTTCTATTTGTAGCAACAACAACAAAAATCCTTCTGTTCTTTAGATTTTTTAGAATGTTTTGGAAGGGTAAGTATACTAGAATAAAGAGAATCCCACTTCTTTGTAAAATTAAAGGACATCTTCAAGACTAATGCCCTTTGGTTTATCTGGTATAGATTTTAAGAGCTATTAAATGTTTTCTTTGTAAGAGTTGCCATGGTTGTGGTGCCTCTTCACAGCAATAAAAACCCAAACTAAAACAGCAGTTGATACCAGTGATTGGGGTATTGTGATCGGCCTAATCATGATATTGTTTGGGGTAATGGGGACTTTGATACCTTGGGTTTGGAAAGCAGTGAAGTGTTTAATCACTGCTTAATGGACCATATAGTAAGAGCGTTGAAGACATAAATAATTTTTTCAATTAGATCAGATAAGGGCAAAGGTTATGGTCTTTGACTTCATTTTTTGAAAAAGTTTGACATACTATGAAAAGACTATTTGATGCTCACATATGCCTTAATTGGCACGGTGCTATTGTTAGTCCTTACTCTTTTTAAATGTCTCCTGCAGCATATTTACAGCAGCGGGCAGCAACTGAGGTGACTCTTCAGGTGTTACTGACTCTTAGGCGTCCCTCTCGCATTTCTGCAGAGGAGGTTATGCGTGCCAGCTTATCTGAAAGTCAAAAGGCTACTTACTGCCTAGTCCCCCCACGTTGGCAGCTCTCCAGGAATGAATGTTCTTCAAGGGCTAGTCAGTGACAGGTAAGAGCTTGTTCAGCAGGTCAGTCTAAAACAGGCACAGTCCAGTTGCTGAGCCCACACCCACACAGCTTTAACCTAACACTTAGGAGGCAATGGAAAATAGATCCATCAGTTGGAGGCCAGCCTGGTATAGAAAGTAGGTTCCAGGTCAGCTGGGGCTACACGATGAAAACAAAACAAAAATAGCAGCTAAGTGTCATGTTCCTTAAGTCACTATTGCTTGATCTTTCACCTTTAGCTCATTTAATACAAATACCAGTGTAGTGACAGTCAAAACTTTGTGGCTCATATTGCCCCCTGCCCCTTTCTTGAGGCAGGGTTTCACATAGTCCAGACTATAGAACCTTGAGCCTCTGATCCTCCTGCCTCTACCTTTCAACTCCTGGAATTATACATGTGTCCCATCATGCACAAGACACACAGCACTAGGGAATCAAACTCCAGGGCTCCTGCATGCTAGGCAAAAACTGCTAATTGAGCTGCATCCCCAACCCCATTTCTCCATATTATCAAAGCAACTGTTTCTACTACATTGTGATAAAATTGTCTGCAACTTGCTGGAACAGGATGCTTAGAAACTGGGGGGGTTTCCAGATTTCTGGACGTGGACCCAAGTCAAGGGAAGTGAGATAAACTCCCCTAGAAAGCCACTGAGCCTCTGTTGTGCTGGTGTCCCTAGCATTTTGATTCCAAGCTGTTCTCATCATCTCTGGGTTCACATCATCACCTTCCTCCAAACATACAGAACCAGTGCCAGACTCAGGCACAAGGGAAAATGGAGTCGTGTGTGAGAGAGTCTATGCCAAGCCTTAAATGTGAGTTCTACATTACCCGAAATCTGCCAAGTAGCAGAGACAACATCGCTACATGGTGTGACAGTGCCAAAGCAAACAGACTGTCTTGGAAGTGTGTACTAGGGAAGCTGAGAGAAGTGTCTGCTTGGGACTTATGAAGTGTTTTCATTAATTTTTAAAATTTAAAATAAAATTTCCCCATCACTTTTGTCTTGATAACATGTCATTTTTTTCTTGAAAAAAATTCTTAATTATCGGTATTTTTTCTCTTGGGTCAGTAACAAAAAATGTAACTTGTGTATTGCAAAGAGTTCATCTGAGGGCTGTGGTGATTCATGCCTATAATCCCAGATCTCAGAAGGCTCAGGCAGGAGGATTGCCATGAGTTCCATCTAAATCAAGCCTTGGTAACAGAGTTAGACCTTGTCTCAAAAAAAAAAAAAATTGTATATTACATGGGGGGGGAATTATCAAATTAAGAAGGAAAAGTGCTTTCTTTGTAAATGTATTTTAAGATATATTTTATGTGATTTAAGGAAGAATCACTATTTTCTTAGACTGGTTTTGAATTCTTGGTCACAAACCTGCCTCAGCCTCCAGAATGTTGTGGCGACAGGCGTGTGTGGCTATGCCTGGCTGAAAACAGACTTATTCCAAGCCAGGCGGTGGTGGTATGCCTTTAATCCCAGCATTCAGGAGACACAGGTGGGCAGATAACTGTGAGTTCATGGCCAGCCTAGTCTATAAGAGCTAGTTTCAAGACAGGCACCAAAGAGAAACCCTGTCTCCAAAAACAAACAAAAAACCAAAGCCAATAAACAAAAAAAGGGCTTATTTCAACAGCAACTCATTAAGTATAAACTCTGAAAACAATTACTGATTCCATATGTTCCTCCTTTTGAATGAATAGCCTAGACTTTACTTTCTGCAACAGTGTTAGGGTTCTACTGGGAAACTCAAAAGAATTATCTGAGACCACACAGGAGATGCACTCCAGATTTCTTTGTATGCCAGTGCACCTCAGTTTCCCCATCTGTGGCATTAGGAATGTAGCACATTAAACAAACCAACAATACTAGTTTATTTCCTAGTCTTAGAATACTTGAAGCCAAGTACTTTATAAAGTAAAAAGAAAAGTATGTTAATCACAGATTTGGAGGCTGAAGATTCCAGATCAGAGGTAGGTAGTTCAGGTCTGGGATCTCAGTACTTGGGAGGTGGAGGTGAGGGGATCAAGAGTTCAAAGTCAGCCTCACCTATATAACAATTTCAAGGCCAGCCTGAGGAGAACTTATCTGAAAAATACAAGGAGTCCAAGGTCAAGTGGCCTTGTCCACTCAGCATTGAGGGACTTTTTGCTTGGGTCACAACATAATAGAAAAAAACAAATACCAGAAGGTTGATTGCTTACAGATGAAGTAGATTACATGAGGTGGCCTTATTTCCAGGAGAGCCACATAAACTCTGAAGACCAACCAACCTCTTTAGATAGTGATGCCTGCATTGACTTAATTAATTCCAGCATTGGTCCACCTCTGTGGGGTCCTCCTAGGTGAACAATGTCAGACTGGGAACCAAGCTCCATGGGATACAACCAAACCATATACAAACCATGGAACCAACTCAAACTATCTCAAGTAAAAGTCACAAGAATCAGGTATAGTGACATGTGCTTTTAGTGTCAGTACTTGGGAGTCAGAGGCAGGTGGATATCTGTCAATTTCAAGACCAGCCTGGTTTACATAGTAAGTTCTAGCCAGGGCTACATAGTGAGACCCTGTTTGAAAAGAGACGAAAAAGAAAATGTCACAAGAGTGAGAATACTAGAGTCTTGTAGCCCAGAATCCAAGACAGAAATAAAGCAGTGCCTGGGAAGGACAGTGGCCACCCAAAGAATGGATCCTCTTTTAGCCTGCTTTGCTTATATCATGGTCTTCTTAGCCTGATATGGGACTCCCCTCTGCATGCTGTGAATATGTTTTATTACCATTGGTTAATAAAGAAGTTGCTTTGGTCTATGGCAGGGCAGAATAAAGCCAGGGAGAAAATCCGAACAGAGATATAGAGAGAAAGTAGGCAGAGTCAAAGAGATACCATGTAGCTGCCAAAGGAGACAGATGCTGGAACTTTACCAGGAAAGCCACAGTCTTGCGGTGATCCACAGAATAATAGAAATGGGTTAATTTAAGCTGTAAGAGTTAGTTAATAAAAAGCCTGAGCTAATAGGCCAAGCAGTGTTGTAATTAGTATAGTTTCTGTGCGATTATTTCGAGTCTGAGAGGTCAGGAATGGACAAGCAGCCACCACCTACGTTAATGCACTGGGGTTAAAATGATGAGAAAATCGTATGCCAGTTTCCACTAGGTTCTAGGTCCAGATTTTATGTTACTTAAGATTGTTTTCATTGCATTTAAGATTCAAGAATAAATTTTGAGGGACTAGAAAGATGGCTCAGCAGTTAATAGCACTTGTTATTCTTGCAGACTACCTGGACTCAGTTTCCAGCACACACAAGTTGGCTCACAACCACCCATAAGCACATAGGTGGTGCATATTCATACATGCAGGCATAGCACGTATACATGTAAAAGAAGTTATTTTTTTAAAGAATAAGTTTTGTTTGAATTTTCACCTTGATGCCATTTAGATAAGACTATATTTTAAAAGAAAGTTAATATTATATACAATAATTAAGAATGTATTAAACTTACTGATATTACATATCAATATGATTTTTTAAAGCAATTTCATACTATTATTCAATTATTTAGGAATAACAATCTGGAAGACAATCCAAGCATTTAAAACAACTAAGTCTCTAATGTCCTTGATATCTAAAGAGGGAAGTGCAAGTGTTACAGCTCTGCGAGGGGTTGGGGCTTACATTTTTCTCTTTTTTGTTTACTGTTGATAAACAAGCAGGGGTCAGAAAAAGGGGGGGTGACATCATTTTATCATTAGACTGCTTTCTGCTAAATGGGGCCTCAAATGCATCAGATGTCTTTGGGCAAACTTGATCTTCACCATCACGATATAATTAGAAGGACAGGATGTCAGACCATTGTAGGATATTTGACCACACTCTGCCCTTCCTTACCTGCCTAAGGCACCATCTGATTAGTTTAATAAAGAGTTGGACGACCAATAGGCAGGAGATATGTGGGACTTACAGACAGAGATAGAAACTCTGGGAAGGAATCAGAGAGGTGGAGATTCATCAGTGTGATATGGAAGAAGTTGGACGTACAGTATGGAGGAGAGGAAATGAGCCACATGGAAGAATGCAGATTAATATAAATATTAATATAAATTAATATAAATTAAAAGTTTTAATGTCTAGTTGGTAACAAGTCTAAACTTTGGTCAGCTTTCATAACTAATAAGAAGTCTCTGTGTCATTATTTGGGAGCTGGCAGTCCAAAGACCTATTGCTTTTGGCATACAACATGGAAGACTGTATATTCCAAGCCTAGTGCCTGTGAGCAGCTGATGCACTCATCTGTCAGAGACTAGGTAGGAATGCCCACTGCAGCTCAGCCCAGCAATTTCCCAGAGCTGGAGTGCATAGACATGGATCCTGGCTGGTGCCCACAGGTATGAGTCTTGGCTCTAACAAAAGAGCAAGCAGAGACTGCAGCCCCAAACCATTGGGGTAGCCTAGTGGACTGACCCAAGCAAGACAGAGCAAGCTGCCAACACCATGTGTTAAGCAAAACTGCAAAAGCAGCCTGCAGATACACAGAAGAGCACAGGGAGAACATATTCTTGAAGCTACAGCACACAAATGCTGCAGTCTCTCAGGCAACCTTGTAAGTGCTATGTGAAAGTACCCTTTCCTGTCAGGTCCCTTCGAGGCTTGGTTCATGTTGTGGGCACACAGAAAGCCAGGTCCAGACTGAGAAAACCTCTGAAAACATACAGTATACTTAAAAATGTGCTTAGATACTAAAGAAAGAAAAGAAAATGAGTAAAGACAGAGAAAGAAATAAATAGTTTGATAACAATGAAGTGAAGTCTTCAGAGAGAGTAAAGTAATATAAAAAGAATAAGGATAGGAAATATAAGAGAAAATTTGAGCTCTATCTAGCTCTTAATTAACTTTAAATTTTTAAATGCTAATGAACAAAAATTAACAGCTTCTGCGAGCCATGGGATTATGGAAAGCCTGCTGAATTAAATGAGTCTGTATTTTTTAAAGATGTCTTAACTTCAGATTGGAAGTCAGGAAATGTGCTGCATTGGAGGTAAGGTTATGCTTTTGTTTTTTTACAGGAAATGAAAAGCTACAGATTACTTAAAAATGGATAAAGATCAGTTTTGACTGGGGAAAACATCCTGAGTATCTTAGTTACATACATGAAGAAAGAAACAAAAAAAATCTTATAAGACAGATAATGAATATGGTGATCCCTCTACATGGGAAGCTCTGAGACAAGATGAGACATGATAAATCTTGTTGGCTGCAGAGTCCTCGTGACTTATTATTACATGCCATCTTTCATATGGCATGGTTGGAAATTTATATTAGTTTAGCTATATAGTCCAAGTGGACTTATAATTTTGACAGATGTCTTTTGTCTGCTGAAAAATAGAACAGAAAGTCATTGTTAGCTAACTTATGCACACCACACATTCCATACTTGTGTTAATGCAGATATGTATGGTACCTTTAAGAGTTTGTGGTTTTCAGAACAAAAGGATGAGACACTAGTAAATAGAAGACCAGTAGCTCGGGTGGTCCAGCATCCCAGAGTTCTCCACTGTCATTTCCTCAAAAATCTGCATCCATAACAACATCAAAGTGGGTAACTAAGATGCTCCAGCCTCACAGACCACTCCAGGCAAGATTTCAGCTACGCCCTGCACTTTCTCATCGCACGGAGAATGGGCAACAAATGATACAGCTAACTTTTCTGGAACTTGACTGTATCCCTATTTTTCTCAGCATTTTCTAAATATGCCATCACCCCCTGACAGCAGAAAGTAATTTTAAGAACATGATGGCTCCAAACTCCCTACGATCCTACCTCTCAGCCTCCTGTCTCCTGGAACAACAGGCACACAGTACCAAGCCTAACACACTGGACTCATAAGGAAAGTAGGCAGAACTAAAAACAGGACAAATACATCTTTTAATTTTTAAGATGAGAAACAACTTACCAGAAGACAGGTGGGGGTGGGGCCATAAAGTCAGAACTGACATCC